GTGCTGTTTAGTAATGCCGGGAAATAAGCCATTGTCATTCCAGCTGTCATACTGGACCCCAGGTAAAGGATCCACTTCAGCTCTCCCAAAGTTAGGGAGGCTGGATGGACTAAATAAAATAAATAATTTATGAGTGTATTAGAAGATGTATGTGTCTGTCAGGGTATATGTGTGTTTGTGTCTCAGTCTCTAAAGGTGTTTTTACTCACCTTTTTTCCCGATGCCAGTTTTGCTGCAGCTGGTCCCGCAACCATGACTGAGATGATCAGCAGTCTTATAATTCCTACGGGAAAGCATTTCGAGGACATTGTGCATGTGCATTAAATGTTTGCTCTGTTCCAATCAGCATCTCCTTATAAAGACACATTGAATTAATACATCTCTATAGGGAACATTTAGCTCCTCTATGCAGAGCCTGGAGATGCTGAACTAGGAATTACATCTTGTGGCTGTCTGACTGTCATTAAAAGGTGTGACTAGGCAGCAATGTAAACACTGCTGTTTCTCTGAAAAGGCAGTTTTTACATTGAAAAGCCTACAGGGTGCTCCTCATCAGAGCATAGTGAGTATAGTAGTTACATTAAGCTATAGTGGTTCTGGTGTCCCTTCAAGAATTGTATTATTGAAAATAAAACTTTGTAAGTTTTTTAAAAAATAACTGCTCTCACAAAAAAAAAATTGCATACACTCTGGCGCCTCACCTGACAACACTATAGAACTCTGCAACGACTATGGCAACCATGCCTAAAGACATGTAAATGGCCCACATTGTCACACTGCCAAAACCGGGGAAACCACCCACGAGCAGCCAAAACTTACAAACCATATCGCTCCTAAAAACGGACACGAAACTATACGCAAAAATACAAGCAACGAGTGAACAAAATTCTCCCCTCCCTTATACATGATGACCAGTTGGGGTTCACTCAGGGCAGGAAAGGGACCGACAATACGCTGAAGGTCATCAGTCTGATGCACAGCCTACACAAAACTGAACAAGGAGGTCTATTGATCTCATTCAACGGACTCAACTGGCCCTTCTTAAACGCCGTATTGCACAAATACAAATTCTCCACAGCCTTCATCAACGCAGCCATTAGAGCAGACACGTCCATACACGGCATCCCCCTGGGAAACAGGGAATAAAAACTCAACCTCTTGGCGGATGATATCCTAGTAACAATCACACAATCACTCACACCCCTACCAAATCTAATGGCACAAATTAACGCATATTGCACTATATCATACTACAAAATGAACGTCACAAAAACCCAAGTTCTTAGTATCTACATGTAAAAAGATTTACTATCTAGACTGTGGGAAGCATTCTCTCTGGACTGGCGAAACGATCACTTGACATTCTTGGGTCTAAAACTCCTGAAAAATCATACTATGTATGACGGCTAAAAAAGTTTACAGAAACTCTCAGATCATGGAAAGGGCATTACCTCTCCTGGTTGGGCCATAAAGCAGCAGTAAAAATGATATCTCTTTAGAACGCTGCAACTATCTTTGCCAAAACAATACCTGAAGAACATGCACATTCTGGTGTCCTTTATGTGTGAAGAGAAAAAAATAACAGGTAGCTTTGAAACTTCTCCAACAGGTGGTGGAGGACAGAGGCCTTGGCCTTCCCAACCTTGCCGCATACCACAGAGCAGCCTTTCTCCAAAACATTGCATAACTCCACCCCTTTGCAGAACCACAATGGGTCTGAGTGGAGTTCCACTGGACATCCCCTAAGGAACTCAGATCATTGCTTTGGATTCCAAGGCACTCAAGACCACCACTCTCCAACTTACTGCTCAGTACACAGACCCTAGGTGTGGGATAGATTGGTGCTGGAACCTCAAGTACCACTAGCCACACCACTACAGATTGTGGGATACCTGGTGTGGTGACATTCTGTCATCAATCTAATATGGTGACCAGGGGTCATGTGACCAAGCTCATGTATGCCTTTCTTACAGTGGGATAAGCTTTACCCTTTGATATGGTAATTGGGTAATTCAATACCTTTACAAGTCAGGAAAGAGGTAACCACTTCCCCCTATCTCCATTCCTCCCTGTTCCTTCTTGGCTGTGCTACTGAGCAGACCCGTAAGCAGACATGGCCTAATTTCTCTCATGGTGAACTGTGAGTGGGATCTGGTGATTTTATAAGATGTAGTTGTTCTTGTTAGTTAGGTTGTTGTTGCTGTTGTTGCTGTTGTTGCTGTTGGTGGTGGTGGTGGTATAGTTAGTTAGATTGTGTGTCATTATCTGTATGTTGTTGTGGTTTTGTCTCTGAATAAATATTTGTTAAAGTAGACGGACCAGAGTTTGGTAATTTATCACACCTGGTCCCAACATTTAATTGGGAAACATGGACAGGGAAAGGAGTTCATCATATATACCACATCTTTGATGGGGGCTGCCTGCTCTCCTTCCCTGAGGTGCAGGCCCAACACGACCTCCCACACAGGGCCCTTTTCTCATACCTCCAACTAGAATTTTACTTGATAGACAACTTCCATATGCTGCCAGACACTGCAAATTTGAGGAATTATGTGTCAGCCTCTCCCCCTAAGAAAACCATGTCCCAGGGATACACTCTGCTGAATAAAGCAATAACACAATTGTAACGAAATCCCTTATTAAACAGACCATGCAAACCAGCCTGTTCGGTTATTTGGATGATTACAGCGGGATTTCGTGGAAATAGCGAGAAAAGCGAATGAACTACCGAACCACCGACCTCCCACTGAGGTCGTGTGGCGCCTATTAACCACCCAGACTGTTGCGGTTAACCACAGACTAATTGGGGAATAGCTGGTGGTCCGCGTTCGTTTACCAAACACGTGGCAATCGCCATTTTGTATTGTCGAACGCTCAGCGGTAAATGGCGAGGATTCCCTGGAACTAATTTCGACTACTTATTTTGTCGAACACTGCTGCTACCTCTTCAAATCCTCGTTCGTACGGTGGAGAAACACACGAATGAAGGGGATACTACTTCATTCGTGTGCTGGAAGTATGCGAAAGTGAACGACCCCAGATAGCTACAGGATGGAACTTGTAGTCGGCTACAAACACACAAACGGCTGGCGAAAGTCAAACGTCAGTCGACGTTTCTGAGAACTGTGTTCGTGGGATCTAAGCGCTATTCGCCTAGAATATGCACTCAGATCCAAGCTATCTGGGGATATGTGGGACTTAAAGTTTATGTTATGTAAAAGGAAAGTTATAGATTTTTATGCTGTTTTGCTAAAATAAGAAAGCCATGTTTTTTTCTACCTGGAGATGATTAAGGCTCTCTTTGCTACCTTAAGTTAATTATCTCCAGGATGGAAAAGAGGGAGTGATTTATGTAAAAGGGGAATGCTTATGCTATAGCCACTGTGATTGATTGGCTACTGTGCTACTTTTGTCCCAGTCTTCCATCTGGTCCCCTAGGGGAGTGTCCACCAGGTGGGAGACCTGCATAAATACCGGGTGGGTAGCCCACAGTAAATCAGATTGTTTTACCCCCTTCATGAAGTCTCGACTCATGTTTGGGGGATTGGGAGTTATAATCACTTTGTTTCAGCTGGATTTCGGGAGAAGCTGCAAGGATCATCGCTGCACAAATAGAAAGATCCTTTACACTGGTGGCCACCGCCGGGATTTCCTCCCGAACGGACGTACCAAATCGAAACAAGTGGTGAATGGCGCATAGATACGAACGCTTGAAACAAACTGCATTGAAGGAACTGCTGGAAGCTCGAGGCATAGTGGCAAGCAACAAACCAAAAGCCACGTTAATAGCCAAACTACTGGAGAGCGATCAAACCAGCGAACAACAAATGGCGAATGCAGAGGAAACAGAGTTCCAGAGGGATGTGAGATGGAGACTCAGCCTGGTAGGACCTAACCCTGTACCAGAGATCGTGGTACAGATCTTGGCACAAGCTACAAAGACCCAGAATGCCAGGGAAGCCCGAGAAGCCAGAGACAGATCACCTCCTGTGGATATATTGTCGCTATCTGGATCTACAATGGGGCGTCAGCGGAAAATCAACTACGCTGCATTTAAAAGCTTTGTGGAAGGTGAGATGGAAATTGATAATTACTTGCAAGATTTTGAGAGACAATGTGTGCTAGAAGATTTGGAAAGAGCTAACTGGGCTGCAGTATTAAGCAGCAAATTATCAGGTAGAGCAGCCGAAGCGTTGAGAGATTTTGTTGGCTCGGTACGCTGTAACTCCTGAAGCCCATAGAAGGAAATTTCGGGCCCTCAGGAGGCAAGGCAAGGATACGTATACTGAGTGGGCATTTCGTATGCAACGCGCTGCCAGTAATTGGATGCAGGGGAATCAGGCAACTACCTTAGAGGATGCTGTGCAATTGATATTACTGGAGCAGTTTTTTTATTATACACCAGTGGAGGTGAGAGACTGGGTCAGAGACAGAAAGCCAAAAACGGTGGAGGAGGCAGCAAGGCTGGCAGACGAATTTCATGAGAGCAGACGGATGGAAATTGAGGGTTCCAGGGCCAGCGGCCTGCATCTGGTCCACCAGCTATGCCACAGAGGGTACCACCACCGGGGGGCAATACCACAACCCCGGGGTACCAAAAGACCGTTCCAATGTGTTATGGGTGCAAGCAAGTGGGGCACATCAAACCTAATTGCCCACAACGCACTACAGACTGCTGGGGGCGGACACCAGTACCACTGACCAAAGCAGCCGCACACTGTGTGCAAGAGGATTACAACTCTCTGACTCAAGAGACACCCAGTAACCACAGTGAGAATTGGGCCACCTTACATGAGGTGAACCCTGTGCAAGCGGCTGGGGATAACAGGGCGCACCACCGCCAGTCGGTAAAGCTAAATGGACAAGAGGCTACTATTACCTTGGTCCAGCCACACCGGGTCCCCCCCGACCCAGCACACAGGACACACCATTGCTGTAAGGGTGGCCGCAGGGGCAATTCATAAACTATCAACAGCCCGGGTACACGTTGAGGTACGGGGGCCAAGGCCATGGAAGTGGGCATCATGCCAGATTTGCCAGCAGAAGTATTGCTGGGGAATGATTTAGGATGCCTGACGTCCCAATTGGCAGCCTGCAGTCCAGAAGGAGCACTACCTGTTACCACCCGGCAGCAATCCAGAGCTATGGAGGCCTCCCCCTCAACCCATGACCAGGTAAGCAATAACCCTCTGACGATTCACCCTGACCATACCTCTTACTGGGGTACCCCTCAAGACTTTGAGCAAGCTCAGCGGGAAGATCCGATATCGGAGGGAGGCCGAACAACCTCAGGGAGACGGAGATCAGGCAAGGTTTATAGGGAAAAGGGTTTACTGTACCGAGTGACTGGAGGGACAGGGAAAGGAGTGGGGCAGGTAGAAAAAAGACAGTTAATAGTGCCCCGTAAGTATCGGGTAGAACTGTTACGGATTAGCTATGATATCCCCCTAGCAGGTCACTTGGGCATTAAAAAGACCAGAGACCAACTCACCCAATCATTTTTCTGGCCGGGGGTCACTAGGGACTTGCAGGATTACTGTAGGACCTGCGAGGTATGCCAAAAGGTAGGGAAGAGAGGGGATCACCCCAGGGCAAAACTATGTCCCCTACCCATCATTGAGGAACCATTTTTCCGAGTGGCAGTTGATTTAGTCGGGCCACTCAGTAAACCCAGTCCATCCGGTAAGAAATACATTCTTACTCTGGTGGACTACGCTACCCGCTACCCCGAAGCTATAGTTCTGTCAAATATACATGCAGAGACGGTAGCGGAAGCACTGGTTCAGGTATTTACTAGGGTGGGATTCCCTAGGGAGATAGTGTCGGATCAGGGAACCCAATTCACAGCGGTGGTTACCCAACAGCTCTGGTAGAGCTGTGGGGTAAAACCCATATTAAGTTCCTACTATCACCCCCAATGGCCTCTGTGAACGTTTTAACGGCACCCTTAAGCAAATGCTCATCACGTTCACAGAGACCTGTCGGAATTGGGAAAGATTCCTTCCCCAGGAGTCCACCGAATTCTCCCCGTTTAAACTATTATACGGGAGACGGGTCCGGGGACCCCTGGATCTAGTACGGGAACATTGGGAAGGTGATATGGAACAAGCGGGTACCCCCATAGTCTCATTTGTACTAGAGTTGAGGGACCGGCTGCAGGCTCTGACCGAAACGGCAGAAGTACTGGTACGACAAGGGAGCTAGAGACCGTATATTAGAAGTAGGACAAAAGGTCCTAGTGCTTAAACCCATCAAAACGGATAAGTTACAAGCATCCTGGCAGAGCCCCTACACTGTAATAGAGCGGATCATTGATACCACATACATTGTGGCAGACTGTTCCGATGAAAGGATCCAGCGGTCCTTCCATGTAAATATGCTCAAACCATATCTCGAGAGAACAGAGGAGGTCTCCGCGGTATGCGCTCCAGCGTATGAAGATAGTGAGGGTATCCCTTTACCGGATATGCTTCCCCAAGAACCCACAGGAGTAGAGAAGGTAGAGTTGGGTCCAGAATTAGGTCCCGAGGAGCAAGCTCAGGCTTCCCAACTGTTAAAGGAGTTTGGGGGCATGTTTTCAGCAGCCCCAGGGTATACAACCCTGGCAATCCACAGAGTGGAGACCTCAGGCCAGTTACCCCTGCGGCAGCAGCCCTACCGAATCCCCAAAGCAGTACGGGAAAGCATGTTAAAGGAAATCCAGGACATGTTAGACCTGGGGGTCATAGAACCGTCCCAAAGCCCGTGGGCTTCCCAGTAATCCTGGTTCCTAAGAAAGACGGTACCACCAGGTTCTGTGTGGACTACCATAAACTAAACGATCGGACCGTTACCGACGCATACCCCATGCCCAGAGTAGACGAGCTGCTAGACCCTATGGCTGGGGGGAATTATTTGACCACTATTGATTTGTGCAAGGGATACTGGCAAATCTCCTTGGAGCCTGAGGCCATTCCAAAATCGGCATTTGTCACCCCATTTGGCCTATACCAGTTTAAGGTTATGCCATTTGGGATGAAGAATACCCCAGCTACGTTCCAAAGGATGGCAGACCGGCTCCTAGAGGGATTTCAGGACTTCGCTTGTGCTTACCTGGACGCTATAGCTATCTTCAGTGGCACTTGTGAAGTTCACCTGGAGCACATCTCAGTAGTGCTCAACCGAATTCAGAACGCAGGGCTCACCTTGAAGCCAGAGAAATGCCACGTAGGCATGGCTGAAGTCCAATATTTAGGCCACAGAGTAGGGTCAGGAAACAGAGACCAGAGCCAGCTAAGATTGAGGCCATCACCCAGTGGCCCCAACCCCGGACTAAAATACAGTTGATGGCATTCTTGGGCACCGCAGGTTATTACAGGAAATTTGTAGCGGAATACAGTGCCCTATAATCACTTTGTTTCAGCTGGATTTTGGGAGAAGCTGCAAGGATCATCGCTGCATGAATAGAAGGATCTTTTACAACAGCTAATGGAAACAACCAAGAGGGCCTGGCATAGGAAGTTGGGATACACCATAGAAAACCGGGACTGGGAAAAGGCATTTCTGGCACACAAGGGTCTCACGTCATGCATTTCCCACCTAGAACGTCAGCATAAAATACTATACCACTGGTACTTAGTACCAGAGAAAATACACATAATGTGGCTGACATCCACTAACACTTGCTGGAGGTGGGGGTGCACAGTGGGCACTATGCTCCACGTTTGGTGGTCCTACCACATGCTCCAACCCTTCTGGGACACAAATTTATTGCAAACAATACTACCTACACCCCAGATAGATAACCCAAATGTGTGTTGTGACAGATCCATCTGTATAGACTTAGATTGCTGGTTCGTCTGTTTTGCCTCCTTTCGTGGAATTACCTGTCCGTATGCCCCTGTTCGTTTATTTGACTTTTCTACCGAATTAACTTACCGAACGGACAGCCACCCAGAAGAGAAGTGTGCTGCTGGTTAACCTCTTGATCCCAATTAGAATGTTGTGGTTAACCGCAGACACCTCTCAATTATAACCGAATACAGGGTGGTCGTCCTTCATATGTCGACCATGAGGCGGCGGCCATTTTAAATCAGGTGAAAGACCAGCGGTGTTCGGCACGGATTCTATGGAACTGAAAACGGACACTTTTTCTGCCGAACACCGCTAAAACCACTGACCTCCCTTCTCCATCGACCGAGGCATACGAACACCGGCCGTTCAGGAGTTTCAACCGCACAAATGGACTTAACCCAGATAGCCTTCCCATGGAGTCAATCGCATACCGAAAGACTGTACAAGACTTTGACTCCATGGCGATTGAACTATGCGTATGGGATCTGAGCGCTATTCACCAATAATATGCACTCAGATCCAGGCTATCTGGGGATACGTTACACGGATGGGAAATGTTCAGTAGTTGTCAAGTTATATATTTTATGTGTTTTTTGGGTCGCATCTAAAATGGCGATTTGCCTCTGTCCTGGGAGATAATTTAATTACTTCTTAATTATCTCCAGAGGAAACCATGATGCATGCTGGGAATATTATATGCCTGTGTCCCCTGAAATGCTGTATGTCCATCTGCCATTACAGTCTCCCATTTGGTCCCCTAGGGGAGTGTCCACCAAGTGGGAGACCTGCATAAATACGGGTGGGTAGCCCACAGTAAACCCAGTTCATGTTTTACCCTTAATGCGGAGCTTGGTCTCGTTATTGGAGGGGAATTTATTACACGAATAGCGACTGCTGGATGGAATTATTAGCCACTTGGGAGATATATGGTTTCGGCTGTTAGCGGCGATTCGCTGATTGGGAAGTGAAGTACCCATACGGGTCCCGTTCGGGAGATTGGAGTATTCCCCTGCTTGTGGTTCATATGATTGGAGTTGGTACGAATGCAGCTGGCATTATGGTGAGAGGGGAGGATTAACTAAATGGCGGTTTTACTATTTGATGCTGAGGGTGCTGTTACATGTGTCTCTTGTTCATGTTCCCGGACTGCCTCTCTTAAAGCGAATAAGAATCATCCTTTACCATATGCTAATATCTGCCAATTTACTAATCTCCAGATTATGGAGAAAAAAAAATAAAAACAGATCCCAACAGTAGAAGACCTCATTAGACAGGTAGATCTAAACTGGACATACGAACTCATGACCGTTCAACAGTTTGACAAACACAAGACAACCCAAGATGCAAGTAAAGAATGGGTAGTGAAAATAAAAGATGCATAAAAAAAACCCAAAACAATATATATTTATTTGTGGTCAGTTAATATTGTGACCGTGAAATACCTTGTGATTGGAATTAAGTCGGTGTGGTGTGCCGAAACAGGCGTAGGGGTGGGCCTGTAAAAAGAGGGCAAAAATAAATGCAGGAAAACACACTTATTAGCAACACAATATCAGATTTGCTTACCTTACCTCTTGTCCCGTAACTAAATGTATCTTTTATAATATAGCTGATTTCCAATTAACCTAATTTATCATGTGTGCTGGTGTCCTGCTACTGGATGTGATTGCTGCGGCCCTTATTCTGAACGGATGTCTTAAATAAGAGGCAGGGTCCCAACCTGATTTAATGCATAGAGTTACATGTAGAAATCGACTTTATAGGTAGTTAGGGGACTGTCTAGTAGAGTAAGTGACTTAATTGTCTGGTTTGAATGTCGGAGTGACGTGAGGTGGTGGCTGTACCTTCTCAAGTTTTCTTTGGCGAGATATGATTGCCTGTCTGATTAGCTGTAATCGTGAAGTGCGAATGCTGTCTAGTGAGTCTGATGACACCTGGAATTCCTATCGAGGGGTTATATGTTATTTGTGGGGTGATGAACCAATTTCTTATACCTTTGATACCCTTATTGAGCAAGCATTAAAGGAAAATGAGTATGGTTTGAAAATGGCTGTCTAAACGTGGTGCTGTATGTCTGAATAAGTAGAGTTTGATTTGTCTGAAAATTGGATGAAGGTGGCAAAGTGCGGCAAATTAGACCATGGTTTGAATTGTACGCTTGTGGATTTTGTATTCCACTGAGAACCCTCGAAGAATGGCCATGGGTCTATTGTAAGTGCTCTTAGTGTTAGCGTATAAGGCTATTCGTGACAACTCTTTGCCATGTGCCAATAACCGGGTTAGACCGGATTAGAACGTTGAAATGCGGAGTTTGGGTTAGGTGTTTTGGCAGTTGGGTGAGGAGCAAATAATTCCCAATTAACGATGGGGCAAAAGCGTCTGTGGCCAATTTGGAGTAGCCTGAAAGAACTGAAAGTGACCAGTGTAACGTACCGTTTTGCACACAAGAGGTTAAAAACTGTTTAGGCGATATTCCCCTTTCCAGATGCCCCGACAGCTACTGTAAGCACCAATCTCCCGAACTGGAGAAGCATATGAATGCCGTAAACAGCCGAACCGGAACCATACGAATGCTGCAAAAAGCCGAATAGGAAAAAAACATACGAATAGGTTTACACTCCTAGCAGTCAAACTGGAACAGCATGCGACATATCCCCAGATAGCTTAGGTCTGAGAACACATTATTACTGAATGGCGCTCAGACCACACACATACAGTTCAATTGCCATGGAGCCAAAGTCTTTCCCATAGTCTTTCATTATACGAATGGGCTCCATGGCATAGCTATCTGGGGTATCACTGCTCAAACAGGGCAAGCACCGAATGACCCGGCTTTCGTGTCTTTGCAGGGGAAAATCAAGCGTTTCAACATGGGGCCATAGTATAAAGTCAGCAGGCGGGCAAACAGGCTCCTCCAATGCACAGTGGCGAGATTGGTCTCATCACAACCAGCAAACAGGACAGCCAATGTTCGATCTTCATAATGGTCAATGAAGATGAATGACCCATGTGAATTATGTCGCAGACTGCCATGTTGTCGGTATAACCTTTAACTGTCATGCCCGACCAGGATTCTCTATGTGAATGCAGTCACCATTTCTATGGTAAATTCGACTAAGGCTGGTGTTTCGTAAAGATTGCAGACCGAGTCTTTCCATCCAGCAATCCCCAATCAATAGTTTTGTAGATTGCTACGACCCAATATTAGTGGCTGCACCTGTACGAGAGACCGGGAATTGGTCAGATCCTGGTGGAATGAACATAAAGAACCCCAACCCGGGTTTTAAAAGACTCCACATGACCAGGTCTGCCCTGTCAGAGGATCTAGTATCAATACCTCCGTCAGGCAGAATAAGCGTAACAGTAACTGAACGATCTCGCCAGAGGGATAATGCGCATAGAGAAGTTTCAAGAACCCAAGCTTATCCTCTGGGAAATTTGACTGCATGGTACCTGAATTCCGTATGAAACCTATGAAATTGAGTCCAGTGGTGGTTCAGTTGATTCTTGTGTCAGAGGAATGCCTAGAGTTGAAACAGTGCTATAGTGTACTTTATCCTTGCATGAGTGCAGTTGCTATTCTACTGTTAAGAAATCTTCTAGATAATGTATCACTGCGGAGCACCTAGTGATAATGAAGAGTAGCCAGCAGTGAGCCTCCGCAAGTGCATCAAATATTTCCCCGCTACTCCCACCAAAGTGAGTCTAGTAGTGAAGCAACACTCCACACATCACGAGGAGGGACAGATGATTAGCAACATGAAGGTGTTGGAGAAAATGGTCTTGCTGTCGTGGTTTACCCGCTCTCACAATTACTTGTGTCCGCTGTGACATAGTGTAGAGAGAATTATGTGGATAATATAAGGGAGTTAAGGCATGAGTTGTGGACAAATGAGGAGCAGACAGATCAATAGTGAGGTGTTGTTTATAGGAGTATTGCTGGTGCTCTACAG